GGTAAGATTTATTTTATGATATTATATGACGTTATCTATATATTATTGCTATTCTAATTATAATTTGAGATCATTTTTATGAGTAGGCTTGCTTTGATATTTTCCAGGATCGATTATGGAAAAAAACTCGCAAACCGTCCAGTGATACCTGCATTGGATCGAATCTTAATAGGAACTGGGATTTTCTCTGGAATAGTAAGTATTTAACGAATAGAAGAGTAATAAATAATAGAGAGAGAGAGAGTAATAAATAGTAGAAAAACGTTATCGAGAGTTCAGATTATTTTGAAAGCTTTGAAACGCTAATCATAATAATATTTATCTATGTAACATTGTAACTTAACTTTCTCAGCTACTGGCACCAGCAACAATCCTTGCGATCCAGATTACCCCGGAAGTGAGCCATTTTCTGAAATAGAGACGAAAAGCATATTTGAATACATGAAATCCAATGTCCGTCATTTTGATTCGTATATTTCGTTCCATGGTTTTTCCCAGCAATTGATGTTTCTTTCCGGTCGTATGGATTTTCATGACTCCTATGAGGACTTGGTAAGAAATTACATGGTGCATAAAAGTGCCTTTGAAAAGTATTTATGATAAAAGGGATATAATATTTCAGAAGCAAATACACCTTTAAACAATGTATTTTTGTGACTTTATATAACTTTTTTGCATTAAACGCGCTTTCAAATTGTTTACTCTTATAATAATTTATATAATTCGAAATTATATTATTTGCAAATTTAATGTTGTAATTAAATATTGTAATGGAAATCAATGTGATGTTTTTGATTTCAGTATCGTGATGATCGTATAGTAATTTATAAAGCTCTTAAAAGGAGATACAATACCCGATATGAGATTGGAAGTATTAACGATTTCTACCGTATGTAAACCCTTAATTATCTAAAACAATTTACAGTTTTAAAAATTTATTTTTTCTTGTTTCTTTATAACAACGTTAACATAATAAAAATAACTTTATAACAATGTCTCATATTTTTCACATATGTACATGTAAAATTAAAATGTTTACTATCGTATTTCATTAGATTAAAATAATTGTAATTTGAAAGATATGTATGTGTGTTGATTCTTATACATGTAATATAAAACCATTTCTAGAGTTGAGTGGTTCTAGCGTAGATTACGTCTACCATGTTTTCCGTAAACCTATCGTATTTCTCTACAAATTGCGCGATAAAGGTCGATATGGCTTCTTGTTACCGCCTGAGCAGATTATTCCGACTGGAGAAGAGGTTCTAGATTCTCTTATAGCTTTATTTTTAATATAAGATGGATAAGTAAGAAATAATTAAATACATAATTCTTCTTATTATTTCTTATTATATATAAATTTATTGTTATTGATTTATTGTTATTGTTACAGAACTAACGATATCCAAAAACTAATCGACGATACGATCTCTGAGAATAAATTGCAAGGCTTTGATTTTACTAACTAAGCTGATTATCCCGCCTAGAGATGAAACTTTTGTTTCTTTTGTAGCTTTATTTACTATATTGTCACGTGGATACGCAAAAAATGATTAAACGTTAAAAATTTTAATTTATATATATAATTATATAATTATATAATTATATTTATATATATTTTTACTATCTTTAAATTAAAGTTAAATATTTATATTTTTACTATTACATATTTTTATTTGACAAATGACACATATATTACATATCCGTGTAATCTTGATGACAATTAAATTTTGATATTACGTTTTTTAATTATGTAAAACAATGTTCCAAATTTCTTATGCTCTCATCATTGTTATTAACAAAATTATTTGCATACATATATCTTTGGAAAATTTTTATTTACCTTTTTTCAATATTGTTTGTTAACATTTTTTGTGAAAGTAATCATTAAATATAATTTTGAAACATATAATTTATTTATTCTAGTACTCAATAATTTTCATTTAAATCAGTGACTTTTAGTCGACAACTGTTCTCGTTTACAATAAGTTAGAAGCGACGTCACACATATAATAATCTTCAAATTATTTAGATTATTATAACAATATATAAAAGTCATTGTTTCTAAGATTGTGTCAAAATTGATGTTTATTGTTATAAAACGTAAACACATAGATTAATATTAATATATGGACTTAGTCATTTAATGCACCATCTTTGAGAATAAAAGGCACATTATCTATAAAGAATTATAAAATGTAAATGTAATCTTGTCTTTAATATAGCCATTACTTGGCAATAAATGGAAGCGTAGGTTACATCATTCAATAATCCATCAACTTCATTACAGTTCCTATTTTAGAAGCACTTTTTGTAAGCATTCTTTAAGCAGATTTATAATAAAGGAATGTTGATTAATAAAAGAAAACTGCAAAAATTTTCTTTCAAAAAGTAATGCGCATCTCTCTAGTAATGCACATGTTTCTCTATATTATTAATTCTTTGCCTTTTCGAGCAATCGTAAAGGATATTTAAAGACTTCGCAAACAAAATATTTTGAACCTATACAAATGGTTTACATAAATATTGTTGTTTGGGATATTGGACGTGTTACTCTGAATAATATGTCTGTGACCCATTTGAATCCGACTGTTTGGAAATCGTCGTCATTATCGGAAAAGACGATATCAGTATTCTATCTAATCTGCAATACTGCCTGTTATCCGGCTGGCCCTTTTTCATGTGCTTCTGATATTACGGATTATATATCTCTATATCGAACAACAGGTTTGACAACAATTATTCTATTATAATGAACATTTTTAACTTGTATTTTTTGGATAATTGCACCGACGTGTTCACTCTTCCCTTAATTCATCACACTCAACAAGCTTCTTTTTCAAACAATACCGATACTTGTATGCTACTGTTAATGTTATTTGCATTTATATTGTTTATTTGAAATAAAACAATAACTGCAGACACATATGCCAATGTCTCTCAATCAGTAAGTCCACAAAAAAGATGATTTACTTATTAAATTATTTAGAGTTTAAGAATTTATTATAGTAATTATATAATAACGGATCGACGATTAAATTGTCTCGCAAAAATGATATATTGCAATATGATCAAAAAGAAAATTTACGGCCAAGATTATGAGGAAGCTTTTTTTATAGAGACGTTATGTGGAAGATAACAGTGTTATCTACGATCGTGGTCATGGTTATTGCTCAGAAGGCTACCTACGAAAATTACAAAGTCTTTAGAGTTACCCCAACCACGGAAAAACAGATCAGACAGCTTCGCCAATTTGGGCAATATCAAGATAAAGTAAGTTGATCCTTCAGATATAAATATAAACACCAAAGTTTTTCCTTTTCCTAAAAAAAAATCCTTGTCATACAAATGCATCATTAAGAAAAATTAATTTCGTGAATTTCATGTAATCCACTAAACGTTCCTAAAATCAATTTTACATACATACATACATAACAAACTGTAAATCGTAATACATAAAACTATAAACAATAATGAAATTATATACATCAATTATCAATTCCGGATAATGTTAAAATTACGTTCCAATTAATTGAAATTGCAAAATTGAATTTCGTTTACAGTTCATATTCTGGGAAACACCAGTCTTCGTGAACGTGTCAATAAATCTTATGATAGTCCCGAACTATCTGCCGCAATTTTACGAAATAATAACTCAAATCGGTGTACGCTATCAACTCAACATTGAGAACGTTCAAACATTAATTGACCAAACAATGCCTTCCAATCGGTCAGCGTTCGATTTTAAGAGCTATCACAGTCTCGAAGAAATCTACGATAACATGGATGATCTGGCCAAGCAGTATCCTAACAAAGTAAAAGTCGTCGTGGGTGGCAAAACGTACGAGCGACGTCAGATCAAAGGCGTGAAGGTTTCCTTTAAGACTAACAATCCCGGAATTTTCATCGAAGGTGGTATTCACGCCAGGGAATGGATCTCTTCAGCGACTGTTATGTATATTCTTCATCAATTGCTAACCAGCAATAACTCGGACGTCAGAAATCTGGCTGAAAGTCACGATTGGTATATCTTCCCCTTGTTTAATCCCGATGGATACGTGTACGCGCACACCACGGTAAATCTTATTTTCCATAACATACAATCGCGTATACTAATTTAGGAATTAAGATTACTGTACGCACACAGAATGAATTTTTCTAACTGCTTCCAGGACCGCTTGTGGAGAAAGAATCGTAAACCATCACATGACCTCTTCTGCGTTGGTACGGATCTTAACAGGAACTGGAACTACAAATGGAGAAGTAAGTGCTCGTGAATTTTCTGTGAATAGAGTACCATAGTAATCAATAATGTGATTTGACATTTTCAGCTATCGGTGCTAGTAGTAATCCATGCATCAGTTCTTATGCCGGAAGTAAACCGTCCTCCGAAATTGAAACAAAGAGCATGTCGGAGTATATCAAGTCGATTTCTGATAAATTCTATGCGTACATCTCATTTCACAGTTTCAAACAACTTTTAATGTTCCCTTATGGCCACACGAAAAGTCATCTCGACAATTACGACGAATTGGTACGATATTATATTATGAAAAATGCAGCCGTAAAAAATATTGTGTATAAAAGATAAACATTATTTTTATAATAAGATATAAAACTAGAGAGTTTTATAATTATATAATAATTCTAAAATTATATCTTTACTTTATCATTATTATCATTAGTATCCTTGTCAATAGAATTAATCTGAATTTTGTGGTATTATTAGCATAAAATTGACGAATTCTGATTTGTATTCTGTATTTGTTTTTTAGTATACCATTGGTTTAAAAGCAATTGCAGCTCTCAGACAAAGATACGGAACTGAATATCGAATTGGAAATATTGCCGAGGCAATTTGTAAGTAGAATTATTTTAACTTATCTTACTTATATCGTTATTTTATCCGCATACGTGTAATTGAGTACTGTTTGATTGAATAGTCAATCAAAAATTTTCTTTATTAAAAGTTTAAATTACAAGTATAAGCTAATTTAAGATGTTACATTTTGAGATAGAAGCAGTAGTTGCAATACAAAATGTTTTGAAGGCTACATACATACATATTTTATTCTAGATCTAGCCACTGGAACTACTATAGATTACATCAAGGGTACTTATGATAAGCGTATCGTTTACGTGTACGAATTGCGTGATAACGGTCGATACGGTTTTTTGTTGCCTCCTGATCAAATTATTCCGACTGGAGAAGAGACTTTGGACTCCCTTGTAGCCATATTTAAGGAGACAGAAAAATGCCAAAACAAAATTGAATTGTAAATAATATAAAGTCAATATCGTCGTGAGACGTTAAGTAATATCATATTAATACAATTTTTATTTATAGATTACTGACGTTTTACTTGAGCGTTTATAAATTTTAATTTAAATATTATTTTTAGTCTAAATTATGTACGATGTTCCGAAATTCTTATGCTCGAGATTAGGGACTTTAAACAAGATAAATGTATTATTACTCTGAAATAAAAACAACTTATTTGTTTAACTTTCCGAGTTTCATTTGATTTCTTTTTAATTATTCGTTTGCTCAAGTTGATCTCATCGAGCCTTAATGAAGCAATTAAGAATTTGTTGATGTACTCAGTTGCATAATATTTAATTTTTTTAATTTATAAGTCAATATAATCGATAATAACTGATAAGACGTTAAATGACATGAAACAGTTAAATTTGAAAACAATTAAGATGCGAAGATTAATATGAAATAAAATATGGATTTCTTTTTTAGGCATTTCGTGTTATAAATATGTTTTGTAATTCATAGACATGTATTTATCTATTTATATATACAGTACATAGTGAAGAGACATTAAATAAAACAAAATTTTATATATATCTTTTAAAAATCTGCAAAAAAGATAAATTTTTCAAGATATTAATAAAGAAACAAAGAATATTATCCGATGAAAGTTTTAGTCAACTGTTGGACATACACTAGAACTAGGGATTTCGAAAACATAAAAATGTAGTAAACGCGCGCATGAACAGGTTACCCATATTAATATTTGTGTTTGAGGATGTTGTCCATGACGAACGTGTTTCCGACCTTTATTTAATACTTCTATGATCAGTTGGAATTAGACAGTCGAAGATCATTGTCAACTTCCGAAGAGAAAATATACAACAGTGTCTTACCCATCTCGTTTGTTCTATTTTCGATCTAGAATTTTCGGCTAAAATTTGGCTTTCAGGCATTAGTCATTTCTAGCACAACGTAATATTTAAATTGAACAGGTTTGACCATATTTTTCCCTAATAATGAATATTCTTAATTTAAAATTTTTCGAGAATTGAATATATATTTGATTTGACTTGCATTATGATTATACACAGCAGCAATATTAAGCGCGATTATACTATTTTTACTAAATAATTTAATACATGTCTAAAATTAATACATATTGCTACACATTATTAAAATCATTGTGCAAAAATATACACGTCTATATATGTATAAGTGTGTGTATCAAGGCGATTTTTTTTAAATAATATGAAAAAATATGAAATAATATCTAGAGATTGTTTGTATAAGTGTGAATTTAATTCATTTAATGGATAATGATAATTGTTAATGAGTAAATTTTTTTGCTTAAGTTTGTAGCATTTTAATTTATAAAGATATTTGTAATTTAATTATAAGGAATCTATTTGCATATAGCCATGTGGAGGATAACAATGTTGTGTATCGTGACCATGGGCATAGCTACCTCTCACAAGGTTAGCTACAAAGATTTCAAGCTCTTCAAGATTGTCCCGAAAACGAATACGCATTTGAGGCTACTTCAAGATTTGAAAAATGATACCGCCAAAGTAAATAAACCATTTATACAAAATTAAAAATACAAACGGCTCATATGCTCATATACTTAGTTTCGCACTAATTGATTTTGTCAGTTAGTATTTAAAATAGCGCAATTCTCACGCATTTTATATTATTTATCTTAAATAAGTAAAATCAATTTTATAAATATTTAAAATAACTTATAAATTAAATGCCATGGAATAAAGAATAAACCTGAGAAACATGTACATATATTTTTAATTAAGTTTAAGATTAAATTTTATTTAAGTAAAATATTGTGAAACTCGATCTTATTTACAGTATTGCTTCTGGGAAATACCAATTGCGCTAAACAGAGAAGGGTTTCTTATGGTACCGCCGTACAATTTGGAACTATTTTACAATATTATGGACGATTTCAAATTGACCTTTGAAGTCAAAATTGACAATATCCAGGAAGTAATTGACGATACGATTCCTCAGACTAAATCGCAAGGTTTTGATTTTAAACAATATCACACTCTCGAAGAAATCTACGATAATCTGGAAGAGTTGGCCAAGAAGTATCCCAACAAAGTGCAGGTCGTCGTAGGCGGTAGAACATATGAGGGACGCGAGATCAAAGGCGTAAAGATAATCTCTGGTGAAGGGAAACGTGGAATCTTCATCGAGGGAGGCATTCATGCCAAGGAATGGATTTCGCCGGCGACTGTCATGTATATCCTGCATCAATTATTGACTAGTAATAATTCGGACGTGAGAGGTGTAGCTGACAGTAATAATTGGTTTATCTTCCCGGTATTCAATCCCGACGGATATGTGTTCTCACACGTTCAGGTAAGATTTATTTTATGATATGTCATATTATACGGCGTTATCTGTTATTGTTATTCTAATTATAATTTGAGATCATTTTCATGAGTAGGCTTTCTTTGATATTTTTCAGGATCGATTATGGAAAAAAACTCGCAAATCGTCCAGTGATGTCTGCATTGGATCGGATCCCAATAGGAACTGGGATTTTCGCTGGAATAGTAAGTATTTAACGAATAGAAGAGTAATAAATAACAGAAAAACATTATTAAAAGTTCAGATTATTGTGGGAGCTTCAAAATTCTAATTACATTAAGGTTTGTCGATGTATAACCGTTGTAACTTGACATCCTCAGCTATTGGCACCAACAACAATCCTTGCGATGAAGATTATCCCGGAAGTGAGTCATTCTCCGAAATAGAGACGAAAAGCATGTCTGAATATATCAAATCCAATATCCGTCATTTCAAAACGTATGTTGCGTTCCACAGTTTTTCTCAACAAATACTGTTTCCTAGCAGTCCGGATTTACCTGACTCATATGATGACTTGGTAAGAAATTGCATTGGTAAATAAGAGTACTGTTTTAAAGAAATATTTGTTATAAAAAGAAAATATTTCAGAAGCAAATAAAATTTTAAGCAATATATTTTTGTGACTTTAGATAACTTTTTGGTATTAAACGCGCTTTCAAATAGTTCGCTTTTAATAATTTCTATGATTCGAAATTATATTATTTGCGCATTGAATGTGCACATTAAATATTTCAATAGGAATCGGTGTAATATTTGCGATTTCAGCATGCTTTCGGTACGATTGCAATGGAGGATATTCGACTAAGATACAATACTCAATATGAGCGTGGAAGTATTAGCGAGTTTCAACGTATGTAAACCCTTAACTATCTAAATTTCTAAATTTCTAAAATAATGTACCGCTTTTAAAATCATTTTTCTTTTGTTTCTTTATAATAATATTTCATTTGTTTTCATATAGACATACATAAAACATTAAAATGTTTAACATCGTATTTTATCAGATTAGTATAATTGCAATGTAAAAGATATGTTGCTTTTTATACATATATAATATGCAAAATTATTTTTAGAGTTGAGTGGTTCTAGCGTCGATTACATCTTTCATGTTCTTCGTAAACCTCAGGTATATATCTATAAATTGCGCGATAAGGGTCAATATGGCTTCTTGTTACCACCTGAGCAGATTATTCCGACTGGAGAAGAGACTCTAGATTCTCTTGTATCTTTACTTGGCTATATGATCTAATATTAGAACGAAAAAAAAAGAAATATGAGCTATATGATCTAATGTTAGAACGAAATAAAAGCAATTTTTTTATTATTATATTTAAATTTATTGTTATTGATTATATATTTTTACTTGACATATATATATATTTCATGAAGAAATATTTTTATGTAAAATTTATTGATAAAAACAATAAAATTTCGATGTTATGTTTTTTAATTATATACGATGTTTTGAATTTCCTATGTTTTCATTATTATTAACAAAGTTTCTTGCACATATCTGTGAAGAAGTTCAATTTACTTTTACAATATTGTTTTTTTGACATCTTTTCTCAGAATGTATATATGTACTAAATACACAGACATTAAACAGCAAAAGAGACAAAATTACATGTTTTTTTTAATTTGCAAAAAATACATTTTTTAAGATATTAACAAATAAGTAAAGAATATTATCCAGTAAACTTTTAATCAACTGTTGGTCATACTAGAACTAAAGATTTCGGAAACATAGTAAAGGCGCGCGCAAACCCGTATCAATATTTGTGTTTGAGAATATTGTCTCCATGACGAATATGTTTCCCGGTCGACTTTTATCTAATAATTCTATGATCAGTTGGGATTAGACCGTTGGATATCGTTGTCGACTTCTTGGGAGAAGATTCATACAACGATGTCTTATCAATCCTGCTGATTCTATACTGACTTTTATTCGGCTAGATTTTGGCTTTCAGGCATTAGTCTATTTCTAGCACAACGCAAAATTCGAATCAAACAGGTTTGCCCATATAGTTTTTCAACAATATTCTTATTTAAAAATCTTTCGAGAATTGAGAATTTGATTTGACTTGCATTATAATATTAGTGACAATATTAGCGCGTTTGTGTCCATTCTATTCTTAGATATGTCTAAAATAGAATGGATGATCTATTATTAGAAATCTATTATTAGATAAATTTTAATATATTTACAAAGCAATTACACACTCACACATATTTATATACATATGCATATATGTATATATTGTTATAATATAACAAGCAATTATTAATGATTAAGTCATTTCGCTAAAGATATATAGCATTTTAATCTAGAAATTGTATGTAAGTGTGAATTTAACTTACCTATGTAATTAAATTTATAATTTTATTTAATTTATTTAACAGGTAATAATAAATATTGATAATTACGTTATCTCGAAACAAAGTGGAGTGGAGCATTATAATCATAGAAGAATATTCGCAATTTAAATATATTATAAGAAATCTATTCTCATATACTATATAGTCATCATGTGGAAGATAATAATGTTGTATATCGTGACCATGGGCGTAGCTATCGTTGACAAGGTTAGCTACGAAGGTTACAAACTCTTCAGCATTGTCCCGAAAACACAATTGGAGTTGGAGCTACTTGAAGAATTAAGAAGGTTGGGTAACGCCGAAGTAAGTAAATTATTTAAATAAAAACAAAAATACACACATGTAATTTCTTCTTCTGAAAGGAGATACCACTAATTGATTTGTCAGTTAATATTAAATAGCAGTTCTCCAATCAAATTAATTTTATAGATACTCAAAATAATTTATAAATCTAATGTTATAAAATATATAGAATCCAACTAAGAAATACAGTACCGGTCAAAAGTATTGCATCGTTTAATTGACATTAAATAATTATTGTTGATGACAGTTTGAAACAACGGAATCAAATCATTAAGATCTTTATTTTTTCTCAAAGTATTCCTATCAAAGCATAAAATAACAATACTGAAATAAAATTTTATAACAATTATGTACGTCTTACTTCATTAAAGTAACGACTTCCCTTTCCATATAGTGATACAATACTTTTGACCGGTGTGTGTTGTATGATATATATATTTAATAAGTTTAAGAATATGTTTCAATTAAGTAAAATTGTGAAACTGAATCTTATTTACAGTACAACTTCTGGCAAGTACCAAGTGTGTTAGACAGAGAAGTTATTTTTATGGTTCCTCCACGCAATTTAGATGAATTTCATGACCTTATGTTCCGTTTCAATATGCACTTTGAAGTCAGAATTAACAACATTCAGAAACTAATCGACGACACGATCCCTCGGAATAAATCACAGAGTTTTGATTTTAAACACTATCATACTCTCGAAGAAATCTACGATAATCTGGAAGAGCTGGCCAAGAAATATCCCCACAGAGTGCAAGTCGTCGTAGGCGGCAGAACATATGAAGGACGCGAGATCAAGGGCGTAAAGATAATCTCTAGTGAAGAGAAATCTGGAATCTTCATTGAGGGTGGCATTCATGCCAGGGAATGGATTTCGCCAACGACTGTCATGTACATCCTGCATCAACTATTGACTAGCGAAGATTCAGATGTGAGATATGTAGCTGACAATCATAATTGGTTTATTTTCCCAGTATTCAATCCCGACGGATATGTGTTCTCGCATGTTAAGGTAAGATTTATTTCATATTAACCGGCATTATTTATAATTGTAATTTTAAATATGAGTTGAATTTATCCACACGAGCGGGCTTTCTTTGATATTTTTCAGGATCGATTATGGAGAAAAACTCGCAAACCGTCCAGTGGTACCTGCATTGGATCGGATCTCAATAGGAACTGGGATTATCATTGGAATAGTAAGTATTTAACGAATAGAAGAATAATAAATAATAGAAAGTAATAATAAAAAAACAAATAATAGAAAAACGTTATCAAAAGTTCAGATTATTTGGAAAGTTTCGAAATGCTAATCACGCACGGTAAAGAACATTTTGTATTTGTGTTGAAATCTACCTGTGTAGACATTTTTGTGTCAAATTTTTAACAGATACACTTGTGTTAATGTAACATATATATTGTCATTGTGCTGTTTCTGTATTAAGTTAATATTCACCGTTTTTAAGAATTAAAATTAAATAAATTTATATGTAAATGCACGAATTTTTAGTGACATTTTCTATCTTAAAGTAAACAGATAAGTTGTTACTTTCTTTTCCGTAACAGTTTAATCTGTTAAATCAACATGTTTCTTATGTTATGTATTATAATATAAGATGTCTCTTCTGTTTTCTGTAAAAAAAAAGAAGAAAGAATAACATTTAATGTAAGAATAAAATTATTTTAATTAAATTTAATATTATAAGTATGTTAATTTAACATAAACTTTGCTTCCAGATAGCGTCCATGTTTTACAATTTTGTATTAATTTTTCACATATTATTTGTGTTATTTATTTACATATTTGCCATCTGTTAAATTAATATAAAAATTAGAGTATTGGTACATGTAAAATGTATCAAATATAACAAAAATTTTTTTACCGTTCATTACGATCCATCAATGTAACATTATAACTTGATTTTTTCAGCTACTGGCACCAGCAACAATCCTTGCGATGACGATTACCCCGGAAGCAAGCCATTCTCCGAAATAGAAATAAAAAGCATATCCGAATATATGAAATCCAATCTCCATCATTTCAATTGCTATATTTCGTTCCACGGTTTTTCCCAACGATTGATGTTTCCTTATGGCCATACGGATGAACGTATTAACTCCTATGATGAATTGGTAAGAGATTGCATTGATAAAAAAGAATGTTACCTTTGAAAAATATTTGTGAAAAAAAAGGAAATAATATTTCAGAAGCAAATAAAATATTAAGTAATGTATATTTGTGGTTTTATAGATAACTTAAAATGCGCTTTCAAGTTGTTCGCTATTAATAAATTATATAATTCAAAATCGTATTATTTCATAATATACATTTAATGTGATTAAATATTATAATGGAATTAATGTAATGTTTGCGATTTCAGTATCGTGTCGGCTCGACAGCGCTTGAAGCTCTTAAACGGAGGTACAATACCCAATATATGATTGGAAGTATTGGCGAGTTTCACCGTATGTAAACTCTTAATTGTTTAAAATAATTTACCGCTATTAAGCCTATTAAAATATTTTTTCTTCGTTTTTTTATAACAACATTAACAAAAATAACTGTACAATAATGTCTCCTTTTTTTATATGTGTACATAATTAAAATGTTTATCATCGTATTTTATTAGATTAAAATAATTACAATTTAAAAATATGTTGCTTATTTTCTAATAATATATAATATAAAATTATTTCTAGAACTGAGCGGTCTTAGTGTAGATTACGTCGCAGATGTTTTCGATAAACTCATCGTGTATATGTACGAATTGCGCGACAAGGGTGAATACGGCTTCTTATTGCCACCTGAGCAGATTATTCCAACTGGAGAAGAGGCTTTAGATTCTCTTATAGCTATATTTAAAGCATTGTCAAGTGGATATATAAAAAATAGTTAAATGTTAAATTTTTACAATTTACTGTTATTTGTTTTGTATTTTTATTTTACGAATAATGGATATATTACATAAAGAAATATTTTTATGTAAAAAAAAACCTATCGACAAATGACAATAAATTTCGATATTATGTTTTCTAATTATGTACGATGTTTTAAATTTCCTACGCTTTATCATTGCTATTAACAAAATTTCCTGAACATATCTTTGAAAAAACTCGATTTACTTTTACAATATTTCTTGACGTTTTTCGTCAGAATTAACTATTTATTTTAGTACTTACTAATTCTCGTTTAAATCAATTTTTCTTAATCAACAGTGCTTATTTGTAATAATTCCATAAATGCCCACATGACTTTGATGTTTTATATAATATTTAATAATATTTTTATTGCTTGAGAAAATAATCGTTTTAAGATTAACATGTACAAGTTGTAAATATGTACACATATGGCGAATACAAGTGGCGAAATAAAAGGTTTACTTATAAAAGTACACATAAATGCATGATTAATGTATGATTAATTATAAAATACTTTGTCAATACTTCAACACAGCAAATTAATGCGATAAAGTAATTTTGGTGCCGTGTGCAACCATAACGTATTTAAGTCAATGAACATACATATGTAGTATTGGCAATTGCCGATGATCCTGTTTTGTAGAAAGGGTAAGCCGATCTTGAGAGAGATTATTCCTAAACCATAATACGAGAATTAAATGTTTCGTTAATTAAATTTCAATTAGTATTTATTTATGAGTAGATTTAAACTGCATTTTGGAAAAATTGCATGGTATAATAACTAAAATAAAAAATATTTATTACTTATAATTGTGTGACTCCAAAAGATTGATAATAACTAAAGACAGTCGTGCATTAAATTTAAAGGAAACTGTAATCATCATGTGGAAACTAATATTACTATGTACGGTGGGCCTGGTGGCCGCCGAGATGGCTACTTTTGAAAACTACAAGGTCTTCAAAATTGCTGTGACTACACAGCCGCAGGTTGACCAGCTCAATATGTTGGCAGACGTTTCTGACGGAGTGAGTAAATCTTACAAGCATAAAGAAACAAGTCAAAACAAATTAATATATTCGATGCTTTTATATATTTTATGCTTTATTATGTTATAAAAATCTATCCTTTTTGAGAGATTTATAACATTTAAACATTGACCATATTAGATAAAATTCGAAAAAATTGATTTCATAAAAATAGCATAATATACACACAAATTTATATAAAAATTTATAAAATCTACAGAGTTACTGAGTTATATTTATTAAATAATATTTAGAACGTTTATATAAAAACCGGAAAATATATAACTAAAATTATATTGTTATTAAATATACAAAATTAAACATTATTTACAGTTTTCCTTCTGGGCGGCACCGGCTGTGAACAAACAAGTGGACCTTATGGTAGCCCCACATAAATTGCCCGAATTCTACGAAATGATGGCGAAAATCCGAGCACCCCATGCAGTTCTTATTGAGAATGTTCAGGCATTAATTGATCAGACGACGCCCCCGAGTGGATTGACGAAATTCGATTTTAAAAACTATCACACTCTCGACACAATTTACAAGAATCTGGATGACCTGGCTCAGCAGTATCCCGACAAGGTGCAGACTGTCGTGGGCGGTAAAACATACGAAGGACGCCAGATCAAAGGCGTCAAAGTTTCCTTTAAAGCCAACAATCCCGGGATCTTCATCGAGGGTGGTATTCACGCCAGAGAATGGATCTCTCCAGCGACTGTCATGTATATTCTGCATCAGTTGCTGACCAGCACCAATCCGGAGGTCAGAGCTCTGGCTGAGAGCCACGATTGGTATATCTTCCCCTCGTTTAATCCCGACGGATATGTGTACACGCACACCACGGTAAATCTCGTCTAAAATTATATTTTAATAATGTCACACATAAAACATTGTTTATTAATTTATAAATTAACCTTAATTACACGAAAATTTTTTTCAGAATCGATTATGGAGAAAAACACGTAAGCCGTATGGTACTCTCTGTTATGGCAGCGATCCCAACAGGAACTGGGGCTACAAATGGAACGGTAAAAATTTACATTATGTGATAGGCAACTATGATAATAAAACATTATAAAAAGTTATACATAATATAAAAATCGAGATTATTTTACAAGGTTTAAAGAACTTACAAAAAAAGATTAAAATTGGCCTGATGTTCGTTAATATTATTTTTTATATGTATATTGATATGCAATTCAATATTTTCAGTCGGAGGCGCTAGCAATTTCCCATGTTCCGAAACTTACGCCGGAAGTGCACCGTTTTCCGATGTTGAGACAAAGAGCATGTCCGAATATATCAATTCTATTTCCGACAAATTTTATGCGTATCTCGCATTCCATAGTTATTCGCAATTATTGATGTTCCCGTATGGTCACACAAAGACTCGTCTTGAAAACTACGACAACATGGTGAGTAATTTTAATTGTAAAACAAATATAATTTTGAGAAATTTATAATAAAATAATCATCTATAAGAGAATTATCTATAAAAAGTATTAAATTGATAAAACAATTAGTTTCCTCTGCATAATATCATTGTTATTATGTAATTATATTTATCAGTGAAACAGTATCATATTCATTTCGAACCAATGCAAATGTGAACTGTATATATCGGATTAATAATATAATTAATAGTAATTAATTTAATTCTACAATAAAACAAAGAAGTGTTTTTACATTATTTTATCATTAGCATAATTATTAATGGAACATTATTTTGGTTAATTCTAATGATTACTTATAAGAAATAATAGAATATAACGAAGTTTACATGGTTTTTACAATTTTTCAGTATGCTATTGGATTAAACTCGATTACAGCTCTCGCAAAGAGATATGGAACTAAATATAAAACTGGAAATATTGCCGAGACGATTTGTACGTAGAACAATTTTTATTTATTTTGTCTTCTGTCTTTTTGTTTATCTATCTTTCTACCTATCTATCTTGTCTATCATGCCTAAATAATTTTTATTTTTCTGAAATAAAAGCGTTGAAGATCTCTTCTTTCTATTTTTAGATGTGGCTTCCGGAAATTCTTTGGATTGGGTCAAAGGCACATATGATAAACCTGTCACCTACATTTATGAATTGCGTGATAAAGGTCGTTACGGCTTTTTGTTGCCATCTAATCAAATTGTCCCGACTGGAGAAGAGACTATGGACTCCCTTGTAGCCATGTTCAAAGAGGCGAAAGCACGTGGCTATCCCACAAAATAATTAAGACTAATTAATTTTCGTATAAATATTACTATTAATGGGATATTTTTATTTGACGATCTGCTAATTTTTCATTTAATATTATGTAATCTATAATACAACAATAAATTTTGTTTTTATTTGATCAATTGCAACTGAATTGCAAATAGTACAATATTTCCTGCTATATCAGCGATAATGTATTCTTGTTTGGTAAGTTATTGATTTACGATTGTCATCAGTAAATTTTATTATTTTAACCCTAATACCTCCAACATTTTTTTCGCTATTTAATCAACGAGATTTTGACTGTTTGCCGTTACGAAAGTAAATGAGCTAAGACTCTGAAATTTCTACTTGATGTTCCCTACTATATCAACTTCTTTTAGGGGTAGGGGGATTATCCCACGGCCGTTGATTTTCCGGAACAAAACAACGTTAGAAACGCGTGGGACACGAAAGTTCCTGGTTGGAGGGATTAGGGTTAATTCTAACAACTTGTGCGTTCGCGTAAATGAGTCACGGTGCGTCTCGCTTCACGCGTACTTGGCGCGAGACTACCGTGTCTCTTGATTATATATAATATTTTGAATTTTGTGTAGTTGATATAAACAAAAATATGTATATTTCGTCACCAGCTTATGTTTTCAATTTTGAATTTTCTATAATGGAATTATTTATTTTATTTGTATTACTTGCACACTCAGGTCAATTTTTCTCAATTTTCTAAATCCCAACAATACATTTAAACGCGGTATTTTAAGTTGGGTAAATATCTGATTGATTCTTATCATAATATAATTGATCATACACAAACATACAAAAATAATTATGCAATGGAAAAGACACAAAGTACACTCGTTTCAAGGTAAGAAAATTATGTCCATAACTTTCCATAAGTTATATTTACAAGGTCAGTTTACCGATAAGTTATCTGTGAAATGATGAATGAAAAATCTGTGCCACTTGTGTAAAGATTGTGTTTTTCAGTGAAAACACTTTTTTTAAAGTAAAATTTATTATATCTATTGTTACTATTATTAGCACTACTACTACTACTACTACTACTGCTTACGCAATCAGAATATTCCGTGATTTTAATCAACTTCCGAACACACTTAAATTTTATAATTCTAGCAACATTTTGAGCGCGAGAAAATAATTGTTGTAAGAGATTTATATGCACAAATAGGTAAAATTTCTGATTTAATTATGAAAGATACATATTTACATTCTACAACACATTTATACATGCAATAATGGAAAACTACAGGACAACAAGTATAAAAATATACTATGACGCTTTGATAAGAGAATGACAAATTATATATTGTGATAGTGTAATTTTGGGGCCGTGTGTAATTCTGTATTTAAATGCAATGAACGTAACAGTATCGGTTGCAAGTGCCTCTGTTTTACGGAAAGGTAAGTCGATATTCTCGAACAAGATTGAAAAATTAAAAAATTGCTTAAAAATCAAATAAGAATTAAATGTCTTGCTAATAAATTTAAAATCAATATTCATCGGTTAATAAGTCCAGCTGTCTGTTAAGAGTTTCACAAGAAATACAAGTCTTTATATATAATAAAAAAACATTTGCGATAATTGTAATAATTATAAATTAAAATTGTATAACGTATGGTATCGTGAATTAAAATTAAAGAGAAATACGTAGTAACGGAATCATCATGTGGAGAACAATAGTATTATGTGCAGTCATCGGCCTGATAGCCGCCGAGAAGGCTACTTTTCACAATTACAAGGTCTTTAGAATTACTCCGGCCACAAACACGCACGTTGAATTACTACGCCAATTGACCGAGGTTCCTGATGGAGTAAGTAGAAATTGAAGCATAAAAAGTAAATGCAAATAATAAAGCAGATTATAAAAATAAAATAGAAACAAATGTATTTCGTCGAAAATCCATTTTTAATATTACTGAATTGTAATTACATTAAAATCGCAAAATAGTTTTCACGTAATTTGCATAATGTAATTAAAATTCACAAAGTTTTATAAATTTATAATTTGCTTATTAAATAATATTTATAAATTGAAAATTAACTAACAAGCATACGATAAATTTATAAAACTAAAATTAAAAAACTATTAATCATGCGTGATTAATTAATTATTTATTTTTATCTATACTCATTATGTTGCAATCTGTCCTAATTTTGAACATTCAGTAAAAGGTTTGTCTTAAAAATTATTTATAGCTTACTTTCTGGAAAGAACCGACTACCGTAAATACGTATGTTGATGTTATGGTAGCTCCACACAAGCTGTCCGAATTTCACGATCTAATGGCTCAGATTAAGGCACCTCATCAAATTTATGTTGAAAACGTTCAGACACTAGTCGATCAAACGACAAATCGGTCGACGTCGAAGTCGTTCGATTTTGAGAGCTACCACACTCTCTGGGAAATCTACAAGAACCTGGATGATTTGGCCGAACAATATCCCGGCAAAGTAGAAGTTGTCGTGGGTGGCAGAACATATGAGGGACGTCAGATCAAAGGCGTTAAGGTTTCTTTTAAGGCTAACAATCCCGGGATCTTCATCGAGGGTGGTATTCACGCCATGGAATGGATCTCTCCAGCGACTGTCATGTATATTCTGCATCAATTGCTGACCAGCACCAATCCGGAGGTCAGAGCTCTGGCTGAGAGTCACGATTGGTATATCTTCCCCTTGTTTAATCCCGACGGATATGTGTACACGCACACCACGGTAAATCTCGTCTAAAATTATATTTTAATAATGTCACATAAAACATTGTTTATTAATTTATAAATTAACCTTAATTACACGAAAATTTTTAATTTATTTCAGAATCGATTATGGGGAAAAACACGTAAGCCGTATAGTTCTCTCTGTTATGGCAGCGATCCCAACAGGAACTGGGGCTACAAATGGAACGGTAAAAATTTACATTATGTGATAGGAAACTATGATAATAAAACATTATAAAAAGTTATAAATAATATAAAAATTGAGAATATTTTACAAGATTTGAAGAACTTACGTGATTAAAATTGGCTTGATGTTTGTTAATATTATTTTTTATATGTATATTGATATGCAATTCAATATTTTCAGTTGGAGGCGCTAGCAATTTTCCATGTTCCGAAAATTACGCCGGAAATGCACCGTTTTCCGATGTTGAGACAAAGAGCATGTCCGAATATATCAATTCTATTTCCGACAAATTTTACGCGTATCTCGCATTCCATGGTTATTCGCAATCATTGATATTCCCGTACGGTTATACAAAGACTCATCTCGAAAACTACGACAATATGGTGAGTAATTTTAATTGTAAAACACAAATATAATTTTTTGAAAAATTTATAATAAAATAATCATCTATAAGAGAATTATCTATAAAAAGTATCAAATTGATAAAACAATTAGTTTCCTCTGCATAATATTATTGTTATTATATAATTATATTTATCAATGACACAGTATCATCATCATATAAATTCCGAACCAATGCAAGTGTGAATTGTATATATATTGAGAAGGAAATATTAATTCAAACTTAACGATCGACAATTTGGATTAATAATATAATCAATAGTAATTAATCTCCAATTCTTCAATAAAACAAAGAAGCGGTTTTACATTATTTTGTCATTAGCATAATTATTAATAGAACATTATTTCGATTAGTTATAATAATTACTTATGAGAAATAATAGAATATAACAAAGTTTACATGATTTTTACAATTTTTCAGTATGCTATTGGATTGAACTCGATTACAGCTCTCGCAAAAAGATATGGAACTAAATATAAAACTGGAAATATTGCCGAGACGCTCGGTCGTACGTAGAACAATTTTTCTTTATTTTGTCTTCTGTGTCTTTCTGTTTATCTATTTCTCTACTTATCTATCTTTTCTATCACGCCTAAATAATTTTTATTTTTTTAAAATAAAAGCGTTGAAAACCTTTTCTTTCTATTTTTAGATTTGGCTTCCGGAAATTCTATAGATTGGGTCAAAGGCACATATGGTAAACCTGTCACCTACGCTTATAACTTGCGTGATAAAGGTCGTTACGGTTTTTTGTTGCCATCTAATCAAATTGTCCCAACTGGAGAAGAGACTATGGACTCCCTTGTAGCCATGTTTAAAGAGGCGAAAGCACGTGGCTATCCCAAAAAATAATTAAGACTTATTAATTTTCGTATAAATATTACTATTAATGGGATACTTTTATTTGACGATCTGCTAATTTTTCATTTAATATTATGTAATCTATAATACAACAATAAATCTTATTTTTATTCATATACGATGTTTTGAATTAAAAATTAAAGATTTGTAATTTGATCAATTGCAACTGAATTGCAAATAGTACAATATTTCCTGCTATATTAGCGATAATGTATTCTTGTTTGGTAAGTTATTGATTTACGATTGTCATCAGTAAATTTTATTATTTTAACCCTCCAACCTCCCAACTAATACCTCCAACATTTTTTCCGCCATTTAATCAATGAGATTTTGACTGTTTGCCGTTTCGAGAGTAAATGAGCTAAGATTCTGAAATTTCTACCTGATGTTCCCTACTATATCAACTTTTTTTGGGGGTAGGGGGGATTATCCCACGGCCGTTGGTTTTCCGGAACAAAACGACGTTAGAAACGCGTGGGACACAAAAGTTCCTGGTTGGAGGGATTAGGGTTAATTCTAACAACTTGTGCGTTTGCGTAAATGAGTCACGGTGCGTCTCGCTTCACGCGTACTTGGCGCGAGACACTACCGTGTCTCTTGATTAAATATAATATTTTGAATTTTGTGTGCTTGATATAAACAAAAATATGTATATGTCGTCACCAGCTTATGTTTTTAATTTTAAATTTTTTAGAATTATTTATTTTATTTGTATTACTTGCACACTCAGGCCAAGTTTCTTCAATTTTATAATCAACAACACATTTAAACGCGATATTTTAAGTTGCGTAATATCTGACTGATTCTTATCATAATATAATTGATCATGCACAAACATACAAATATAATTATGCAATGGAAAAGATACAAAGTACACTCGTTTCAAGATAAGAAAATTATGTCCATAACTTTCCAGTTATATTTATAAGTTATATATATATATATATTCACAAGGTCAGTCTGCCGATAAGTTATCTGTGAAATGATGAATGAAAAATCTCTCTGCCACTTGTGTAAAGATTGTGTTTTCCAGTAAGAACACTTTTTTTAAAGTAAACTTTATTATATTTATTGTTATTATTATTAGTACTACTACTACTACTACTACTGCTTATGCAATCAGAATATTCCGTGATTTTAATCGACTTTTGAATACACTTAAATTTTATAATTCTAGCAATATTTTAAGCGCGAGAAAATAATTGTTGTAAGAGATTTATATGCACAAATGGGTAAAATTTGTGACTTAATTATAAAAGATACATATTTACATTCTACAACACATAATTATACATGCAATAATGGAAAACTGCAGGACAACTAATAAGTATAAAAATACGCTATGACACTTTGATAAGAGGATGACAAATTATATGTGTAATTTTGGTGCCGTGTGTAACTCTGTATTTAAATGCGACGAACGTAACAGTATCGATTGCAAGTGTTCCTGTTTTACGGAAAGGTAAGTCGATATTCTCGAACAAGATTGAAAAAGTAAAAAATTTTTTAAAAATCATATAAGAATTAAATGTCTTGCTAATAAATTCAAAATCAGTATTTATCGGTTAATAAGTCCAGCTGTCTGTTAAGAGTTTCACAAGAAATACAAGTCTTTGTACATAATAAAAAACATTTACGATAATTGCAATAATTATAAATTTAAATTGTATAATGTATGACATCGTGAATTAAAATTAGAGGGAAGTGTGGTAACGGAATCATCATGTGGAGAGCAATAGTATTATGTACAGTCATCGGCCTGATAGCCGCCGAGAAGGCTACTTTTCACAATTATAAGGTCTTCAGAATTTCTCCGACCACAAACACGCACGTTGAATTACTACGCCAATTGACCGAGGTTTCTGATGGAGTAAGTAAAAATTGAAGCATAAATGGTAAATGCAAGTAATAAAGCAGACTATAAAAATAAAATAGAAACAAATGTGTTTCGTCGAAAATCCATTTTTAATATTACTGAATTGTAATTACATTAAAATTGCAAAATAGTTTTCACGTAATTTGCATAATGTAATTAAAATTCACAAAGTTTTATAAGTTTATAATTTGCTTATTAAATAATATTTATAAATTGAAAATTAATTAACAAGCATACGATAAATGTATAAGACTAAATTTAAATATATAACTATTAATTTTACGTGATTAATTAATTATTTATTTTTTAACTTCTAATTATATTGCAATCTGTCCTAATTTTGCACATTCAATAATAGGTTTGTCTTAAAATTATTTATAGCTTACTTTCTGGAAAGAACCGACTACCGTAAATACGTATGTAGATATTATGGTAGCTCCACACAAGCTGCCCGAATTTTACGAATTAATGGCTCAGATTAAAGCACCCCATCAAATTTATGTTGAAAACGTTCAGACACTAATCGATCAAACGACAAATCGGTCGACGTTGACGTCGCTCAATTTTGATGAGGGTTACCACACTCTCTGGGAAATCTACAAGAACCTGGATGATTTGGCCGAGCAATATCCCGGCAAAGTAGAAGTTGTCGTGGGTGGCAAAACATATGAGGGACGTCAGATCAAAGGCGTTAAGGTTTCCTTTAAGACCAACAATCCTGGAATCTTCATCGAAGGTGGTAATCACGCCAGGGAATGGATCTCTCCAGCGACTGTTATGTATATTCTTCATCAATTGCTGACCAGCACCGATCCAGAGATCAGAGATCTGGCTGAGAGCCACGATTGGTACATCTTCCCCGTATTTAATCCCGACGGATATGTGTACACGCATACCACCGTAAGTCTTGTTTTATAATACTAAATCAATTTATAAGTTTTAAGTACCTGTACGAAATTTTTTTGATCATTTCCAGAACCGAATGTGGAGAAAGACACGTGAGCTGCATGGTCTATTCTGCCGAGGTAGTGATCCTAATAGGAATTGGGGTTACAAATGGGGAAGTAAGCATTTGTATACTTTCTGTTAACCGAAGACTGCAATAATCAAAATAAACAGTTATTAAAAGTCCATATTATTTTAAAAACTGTAAAGAGCTGATGGGATTGCAGTTAATTCGCGATGTTTATCAACATTATTATATTTTGATTATATATTACATTCGTAGCTGGAGGCTCCAGCTCTTTCCCGTGTTCCGAAACTTATGCCGGAAGTGCACCATTCTCCGATATAGAAACGAAGAGCATGTCCGAATATATCAAAACCATTTCTGATAAATTTTACGCATACATCTCGTTTCACAGCTATTCACAGCTTTTGATGTTCCCTTATGGCTACACAAAGACTCATATTGAAAACTACGAGGATTTGGTGAGTAATTTTAATTGTAAAACAAATTAACATATAGTTCTAGAAAAAATGATAATGAAATCATGAATAAAGAATGGTGTTAAATTAATAAAATTATTATTGTTTTATTGTAACATTATTATCGTCACTATATCTATTAGAGATTGAGATTGTGCAACTTATTATCCAAACTACAAGTCAATGCAAAAATCATTGATTAAATATTGATAAGAAAAAATTGAGAACAAAATATAAATTCTCTCTCTGCATACTTGTTAGCCTAACTGATCCGATTCTTTAGTACTTAATATTTAGAGCAATCAAGTTTATCATTATTTTAGTGTAGATTAATCCAGAACAAAATAAGATTAATTCCGAAACAATTAAAGTTAATATATCTTTATGATTTTAGTATGCCATTGGTACAAAATCGGCTGACGCTCTTAAAAAGAGATATGGAACCGAATATCAGGTTGGAGATATTGCCGACACAGTTTGTAAGTAGAGACATTTTAATTTAATTTATTTTCCTTTCTCTCTCTCTCTCTCTCTCTCTCTCTCTCCCTCTTCTTTTTATCTATTATATTCTTAAATAGTTTTTAATTATCTTGGATAATTTACCATTAAAAAATTTACTTTTTCCTTATTATTTTAAAAATGTAACTGGATATTATTGCATTGCAATATTAAAATAATTGTTTATAAAAACATTGTTTTTTAAACTTATTTTGTAAAATTATTTTTAGACGTGGCTAGTGGAAATACTGTAGATTATATCGAAGGCGTTTACAATAAACCTATTGTCTATGTCTACGAGTTGCGTGATCAAGGTCAGTATGGTTTCTTGTTGCCTCCTGAGCAGATTATCCCAACTGGACAAGAAACTCTGGACTCTCTCGTAGTCATGTTCAAAGAGGCAAAGAGGCTTGGATACTCCAATAATATTTAAGCTGTTTATTGCAAATTGTCCTATAGACATTCTTTTATTAGACAATTTCCGATATTATTTTGTAATTGGCTGGTAACAATAACTTTTAGTTTTTAATTATTTTTTGTTTCTTAATTATTTGCTACAATTATTTCGATGTTTTGCGCCTATTTACTTTAGACACGTTATTTACTTCAAATCAATTGCTCCGAATATCTGCAACAGAATTAAAAACAATGTTGTCAATTAATAACTATATATAATTATTTACATTAATGACTTGCGTGTTTAAATTAGCTTTCGTCGGCGCGATAAATATTTGTGATGTGATTAAAAGTGAAGCTATCAATCGCGTAGTAACTAATCGACAAAGATAAAATCGAAATGGATAATGTATCATCGTAAAAGTATAAATATACACATAATATTTATGTAAAAATACAAACTAAACACTATTTTTAATACAATAATTATGTAAATTTATACGCATTGAAATAAACATATTTTTAGCAGGCATTTATCGATAATCTGTGAAACAACAGTGATAAATTATGAGATTTCTTCGGAACTAATTTGATAAACACGTGGTAGACATGTGATAAAACTCGATCTCTTTTCGGTAGATCTATCAATGTGATTCTTTTTCTCAAATAATGTTCTTGATATTTATTGGTACCGTGTGCACACAGTATTTAAATGTAATGTACGAGTAGTAGCGTTAATCACAAATACTCCGACTCGTAAAAGGTAAGACGTGCACGTGCATATTTCATCGAAAGAGACAATTTTTTAATTGAATAATAAAAATTATGTAATCCACTGATAAATCAATTATTTACTGCCATATAAATTCAAATTGTTTTGTGAAAATCTCTTCTCTTTTGAGGAAATTAAGAATATTATATATTTATATATAATTGTAATTATTATATATATATATAGATTGATAATTGATTCACGCATTAAAATGTACAGGATCATCATGTTGAAGATAATAGTGTTGTGTACGATCGTGTGCTTAATAGTCGCCCAAAAAGCTACTTTTAACAACTACAAAGTTTTTAGATTTATTCCTTCTACAGAGGCCCAAGTCAATGAATTACAACAGCTGGGAACAATTTTTGATGGAGTAAGTAGATTCTTTAAAGTAAACAATTATAAGGATAAAAAGATGAATATCCGTATAGAATTTTATTGAATCTTGAAGAAATTAATGTCATCTAAACTCATGTAATTATTTAAGACATTTAACTCAATTATTTTGTTACATTTACGAAATCTAATTTATGTATATGTACAAAAATTGATTTTAAAAATTTATATATTTAATTATTAATCGAATTTTATAAAATTACGAACAAATTTGAAAAATTTGTAAGAATTTTTGATAACTCTATGAAATAGGAATTATTAAATAAAAATTTCGACATACAAAACTAAATATTATTTTCAGTTTTCGTTCTGGGAAGAACCGAGTTTTGTAGGCAGAAATGTAGATCTTATGGTGGCTCCGCACAAGTTGCCCGAATTTTACGAAATGATGGCTCGGATCGGAATATCCTATCAAGTTTACATCGAGGATGTCCAAAAGTTGATTGACCAAACGATGCCTGAGAAGCAATCAACCTCATTTGATTTCAATAACTATCATACTCTTGAGGAAATCTATAAAAATCTAGATGACCTGGCTAAGCAGTATCCCGACAAAGTACAGGTGGTCGTGGGTGGCCGAACACATGAGGGACGTCAAATCAAAGGCGTGAAGGTTTCCTTTAAGGACAACAACCCTGGAATCTTCATCGAGGGTGGCATTCACGCCAGGGAATGGATCTCTCCAGCAACTGTTATGTATATTCTACATCAATTGCTGACCAGCAATGATCAGGACGTCAGAGATCTGGCTGAGAGTCACGATTGGTACATCTTCCCCGTATTTAATCCCGACGGATACGCGTACACACACACCACGGTAAATTTTTCTCTATACTATTACATTGCGTCATCTAAGTTGTAAATTAAATGAATTCTTTTAATTGCTTCCAGAATCGATTATGGAGAAAATCGCGTAAATCGTACGGTCTCTGCGTTGGAGCTGACCTTAATAGAAACTGGAATTACAAATGGGTGTGTAAGTATCATACATAGTATCCCGAACAGGGAATTATAACAATCAACAAATCAAATTAAATGATGTTGTAGTAGCCAAAAGTTTTTATATATAAAGATTGCGATCTAATACTCATTAACGCTATTATAATTCGTCATTTCTAGCTAAAGGCTTGACTGGCTTTCCGTGTTCTGAGCTTTACGCAGGAAATACGCCGTTTTCCGAGATAGAAACGAAGAGCCGAGTATATTGAGTCTATTTCTGACAAATTCTACACATACATCTCGTTCCACAGTTATTCGCAACTTTTGATGTATCCTTACGGTTACACGAAAGAACATCTCGATAATTACAAGGATTTGGTAAGAAATCATATTAATAAAGTAAAAATATTGATAATAGCAAGAATATAATATTTCTTAAAACATTATATTGTAATATTTATGATTTTAGCATGCTATTGGTTTGAAATCAGCTGCAGCTCTTGAACAGAAATACGGAACTAAATTTCGAGTCGGAAATGTTGCTGAGACGATTTGTAAGTTTAATTTGAGTGTTTTGATTTATTTTATTTATTGTATTTGTACAATTTAATCATTTAATCCATTCTATTGCAATTAAAATTAATCTTTATTTATTTCTTCATAATTCAAACTAATTTATTCATTGCATCTCTCAGAGGATTAAAATAATTGCAATTTTTAATACGTAAATTGCTTTGTTAAACACTGTGAATTAATTTCTAGATGTGTGCACCGGAATTAGCGTGGACTATATTAAAGGCGTTTACCATACACCTATCGTATATACTTACGAATTACGCGATCGCGGTCGTTACGGCTTCTTACTGCCTCCTAATCAAATTATTCCATCTGGAGAAGAGACAATGGATTCTCTCGTAGCCATGTTTAAAGAAGTAAAGGCACGCGGATATTTCAAAGAAAATTTGTATTAATATAAATATTTGTATTAATTTTAATAAAATAATTTTTTATAAGTCAGAAAAGATATTTTAACAACTAGTAATAATGCACATTTATAATATCTATTATTTTAAAGTAAAACGCACAATTACATATACATATATAAATTTCATTATTATGGAAAAATTTAATTAATTAGTTGTCGTACGTCACCAGTTTCCTCGTCATTGCTTTCAAATCTTTTCTTGAAATTTTCCCTGACCCCGTATATGGGAAGCTTTCTAAAAATATCACTCCTGCACGTAGTTTGCAGTGATCCATCATGTTGTTTGCTACAAAGTCTATCAATTCCTGTTCCGTCACCTGTATACAAAAAAAAGTAAACCAATGTAAGAAAAAACATTCTAATACATAAAAAATATTTCCTATTTTATTAAAAGTAATGTACATAATATAATGATACTCTTTCTCTCTCTCTGTCTCTCTCAACATAATGTTCAATTTAATTTACTGTGAAATAAAAGATATAGAAATTTATATGTTACTTTTATACTTAAAATATAAAAAAAATCTAAAAACTTTATAAATGAATTTTAAAACAAACTAATATCAGTCTTATATCATATCACACTTTTATTCTATAGAATTATAATCGAAAGCATTTGGCAAAGACAATGTACTTTGTCTAAAACTTTTTTTTCTCCGCGATTCTTTTATTTCTTATCGAACCCTTACCTATTTACTTACTTATTTAAACTGATTTATTCATCGCTCTTTGATCTTGAATTAACGCGCAAATTTTTCCATTTGTCATCTTAGTTGTCCTATCATGTCTTGTAAAATAACGTCTTTGTTTCATATGAGAATAATTCTCTATTTATTACATTTTTAAGAAGATATCACGGAATATATACAAAATCAGTTAGCAATTATTTTATTGGTATTGGGCAGATTTTATTTTGTAAAAACTTTTGTTTTTTATTTTATTATATTTCCAATAAAAAATTGTACCTTAGCGCCAGGTTTTTTGATGACAAAAGCAACAGGGTGTTCGTCATCTATTGCATGAGGTACTCCTATTACTACAGCTTCTAGCACTGCTGGATGCGATGTTAAGACATTCACGACTTCTGTGGGAGAGATTTGATATGCTCTGTACTTTATAAGATCCTTTATCCTGTCTATAATGAACAATTCCCCATCATCGTCGAAATAACCGATATCACCTGAGTGTAGCCATCCTAAAAAAATTCCAAATTTATTTTTGTGATTTTCACAGAATTATTAGATATATGTTCTTTAAGATATAATGGAATATAATTTATTTACTTTACATTGTAATTGACCTTTAAATATAATTACATTAAAATGTAATTACTACTATAGAAACTCTTTACCTTTCTCATCAACCGTACTTTTCGTCGCCTCCGGATTTTTATAATAACCAGTCATTATGCCTGGTAGTTTTATGCATATTTCTCCTGATTGATTTGGACCAAGTACTTTCCCGCTTTCTGGGTCCACGACCTTCATTTGCACATTCTTGGATACTATTCCGTTAGATCCGTTCTTACTATTTGGCAGTTGCAACGTGGCGCAACCACCAAGTTCCGTCATCCCTAGAAACGTGAAATATACAGGCCAAATTTTACAAAATATAAATACATTAATATTTTATCACATTATAACAATATTTACCGAAACATTGCAATATCTGGACATGTGGCAAAATATGTCTTAATTCTTCCTGGACTTTTGGTCTAATTGATGTACCACTGCCCATTATGACTTTTAAAGATGATAATTGATATTTCTTTAACTGATTTGATTGGAGTAACCGATTCATCATGCTTGTACCAAGGAAAGCAGCTGATACCTAGACAAAAAAAAATAATTTATATTTTTTTATTATCGCATATTATGCTCAAATATAAAAATCAATTACATGTAAACATAAAACCAATTATGCACTAATTTACAATATTAATGAATAAATTCTAAGTAGATTACGCGATGTGATGTTCTTCGTTGTTTACAATTTGAATTTATCTTGATTCCAAGATTGGAAAATTATTAACATCTAATTAGCTATTAATTCATCAAAGTGCAATTCTTTATTCTCAAATGCATCATCAGATGAGAAATATTAATAGAGAGTTAATAGCGCTGCTAATATTATATCTATTGCTATCATAGTAACAAGTACTTTAAATTATCGTAAATTATTATTACTTTAAATTGAGAACGTTACGATTTAAAAGCAGTTGATTCAACTGTATCGTAGGATTCGCAAAGAAGTAAAAGCTAAATCACATTGTGATTATCTATAAGATTTATCTATTCCAGAAAGTCTATGCCAAGGCAATATATCTCAGTTATCACTCTTTCTCAAAACAGCAAACTTTAAAAAAAAAATTCTTTTACTTTAAATATTTCATTAAAGAGCTTTTTATAGATAAAATAATATTACTTTGTATTTTTCGATTAATCGGCAAGTCATCTCCTCATCAAATTCCGGATAGATGATCGCTTTGGTACTTTGCCTGATCCCATCGAAGTTCATCATTATCCCAGTCAGCCAATAAAGAGAAGAGTACCAAAGTGATGGCACATTGGCCATATTAATATTGTTTTGCTGGCTGAGAAATAACATAGAGTAGTTGGACAGTTCGACGCCCTTTGGCATTCCCGTGGTGCCTGATGAATGCATAATGCATGCTGTCTTCTTCACGTCATCGAGCTCGACGTAACGAAAATTTATCACTTCGGTATCGTTGCAATTTCTCAAGATATCGGAGAACGAAATCGCGCCAACATGCTTGCCGAAGACTACCACCGTAGAATTGCAATTCTGCTCTTTTAGCGCGCTCAAGACAACATTCACGGATTTCTCGCTGCAGAAGATTATCTTCGGGGTCGTCATTTGCAAAAAGTACAGCATATTTTCTGATAAATAAACTCAATGTTAAATAATATCATAGAGTCAAATTATATCTAATTAACGGAAAATGGATAAAACTGAATTATTGTTAGCTATAGAAATGCATTATTTCTAATTTACTAATCTAATTAAGTATAATTAAGTGGGAACAATTTTAATAATAAACATTGCAAAAGAACTTACGTAAGTCCAAGTTCTCGTTCCATGGATTGAAGATTGCGTTGATGTAAGTTGCCGAAAGACAAGGCACGATGGAGTTGAGATGATTACCTGTGCACATACTAATAACGTCGCCAGATTTGATTCCATGTTTTTGCAACCACAAGGCACATCTCACAATTTTATCTTGCAACTCTGCGTATGTGACTGTTTCTTCAGTAAGTGCGTCCAACTGCATAATATTATTATTATAAACAATGTTCCAAAATCACAAAAAGTTAGTCTTATTGCAGAGTCAGAGTTTCACAATCAACAAGAACAGTATATAATTTGGGAAAACCTGTTTTAACTAATATTATAACATAATTAAATGAAATATAAATATTGCAGAATTGCAATTATTTGCAATAAATTTATAAACAGTTTTATTTAAATCTGTTTTAGTAACTCTTCAGATTAATTTCTTTTTTTTTTAAACGCCTATTAAATCATGTCTCGGATAGTGTGCACAATTGATAGCCTTAAGGCATTTATTGCATTTACTTAATAATTACTTCTTATACAATTTAACATTTTATAAGATTTAAAGCAACACAGTTTTATTTGATAATGTTAAAAACAAATAAAACAGATGGTTGTGTTAGTATTAAGACTGATTCCGCAATCATTCCAAATTGTAATTTTTTACTTACGTATGCAATTTTATCCCCATGACTTCTAATGCTAATCCACATTAATTCTCCGATACTCTTGTAACGACTCAAATTATCCCTCACGGGGCCCTTGTAAATGCCATTTTCGATGGTAAAATTCTAGAAATAACAGAGAAGCATGACAATTTTAATTGCTTATCGCAATGCTTTTGAGTTATGTGTTTTTAATGTCTATGTTTCACGTCATACATTTATGAGTTTTAAAATGCATAAAAGGATTAACTACACAAAAAATCATCGGTTCCTCTAGCTCTAGCACTTACCTTCGTTTCATTGTTAATCATTTCGCCAGAAGTATCCGAGTCTCAGATTGTAAATGTAGGATTTTGAATGCGATCCAACAATGTCACTCTACAAAACAGCATGATGTAGCACATTTCATAATTGTTCTAAATTAACTAGAATTAACTGAAATTACTTATTAAATGTATATGTGTGTATACACACACGCACGCACTCACGCGCAAAGATAGATTTTTCTTCTAAAATTATTTCTATTATAATTTAAGTAAGATTGACGTACCGCTATTATTTTTATTATTTATCAATTTTTTGTGCTTTCTAGCACACAAAGAATGTTTATTAACGCAGTGTATTTTATTAGTTATTATAGATAGTAATAAAATCTGTTATTTCATCAAAATTAAATTTTATTACACTATTAAAACAAAATAACAATTTTCCTGTATAGTCTTTAATCTTTATTTTATCTTTATCAATATAAATGCTAATTTCATCGAGAGTTGACCGTATAACACTCAATAAAAAATGACATTTATAGCAGCAGCAGTTTACCTTGAGAGCGACTATAAATCATTTAAAACCAAGAACTATGATGAAGTAAAATAAGGATAAATGATATATCTTGTCTTGAAAACAATAGAAAAACAATGGAAAAAGATAAAGTTTTAATATTGTCAATTATTTGATCTAGCAATTATAATATATCTATTCTTATGTATAAAGAAGAACAATACTAAAATGTTCAACAAATACTCGCTCGTAAACAAAAATAGACACTATTTAAGAAGTAATTACTAAAAAGCCACTGCTACACCGCTACGCTTTTAAATTTAGTAAATTATTGTAAACGATAATATATAAATACAGATAAATAGAGACACTCTATAGACTGTAATGCTTACCTATATAAAAGAGATTTAAACTTGTAGAGGATGCACAATACTCTTTTGATTACAAGTGTCTAAATATCCGATAAACAATGAGAAAAAAATAAAGGAACTTGAACACAAAAATCAATAACGTCAGTTCCAACCATGAAGAAGATTCCGTGCGTCTGACAGATAGAAAATTTTCTCCAACTCGAGGATTATCTTTTCCAGTCAACACAAACAAGTGAGTAATGACGTAACGACCGTTAATATATTGCATTGCATGTATCTACATCAGATTATTTATCGCACATATAGATATTTCTAGAGAGATATTTATGATATTTTTCTTTCGTAAACGGAAAGCCTTCACATGTTGCGCAAATCATACATTTTGTTATGTCATTGTTTTTACTAACTCAATCATGATATACGTTATTCTCGACGTTTATCTTATAGGGAAACATTATCTTATAGGAAAACATTCCTAAAATTGACAACAAAATGTGTCTAGTTTTAATGCTAGATTTGATGGAAATGTTGGTGAAATTATCTGTAGAAGTATAGTATTTTAACTTATTCTATCATTTTAATTATAAACATAAATACTCCAATTATTTAAAATAACCTAATATCTTCGTAATATTTTAGTTTTTTTATAAGCTTTTATAAATTTTAATATAAATTCAGTTAATCATTATTATATTTCAATATTAGATGCAATCGTTATTCTTTAAAACGTAAAATGTGTTTTAGATTCAGCGGAATCACTATTTATATCAGTAACATTTATTGCGTGTGTGTGTTTATGCTTATCGTCATTAGCTACGTCTTGCAAAATGATAATTACCGGCTTTTTATCATCTCTAGATTGATGCCTGACAAGAGAAGAAAGGCAAAGATATGTCAAAATTCCAAAGAACATGAGTTATTGGTATATATTTGATTTTAATAAGATATATTCTGAGCTCTTAAGCTTCCCGAAAAACACCCTGAACCATTTTACATGCTTACCGAGTCCAGATCATACATAAAATTACATAAAATAGTATATGACATTTCTTTTCAATTTGACATCATTCTATCTTCACTTCTTAGTTGGTCAGTGACTTGTCGGACACCCTGTATATTATATGCATTCATAAATTTTGCATTATCGGATAGATATAATTAAGTAGTATGCTCAAATAATTTTTTAGCTATTTCTTTTAAATCTTTCCTCGCAATTTTTCCTGAACCTGTATATGGAAAAGCATCCAGAAATATCACTCCTGCACGTAGTTTGAAATGATCCATCATGTTTTTCGCTACAAAGTCTATCAATTCCTGTTCCGTCACCTGTACAAAGAAAATTATAGCAATGCAGAAACATTCTTATACATTAAAAATATGTCTTATATTATTTGTACTAAAAAGTAATGTATAAATAATTTGTATAATCCAATAATGTATAATTTTATTTATTATGAAATAAAGAAATAGACATTTAGATATTGCTTGTAAGTAAAATATTACAAAATCTTTTATAATAACAATTTATTAAGAACTTTATTATGTAATTTTTAAAACTAACTCAATGTCAATCTTATATCAAACCATGTTTTATCTTACAGAGTTCCAGTTAAAAGCGTTAACTAAGGCAATATATTTTTATCTAGAAGTTTTATTCTTTTCGCTATTCCTTCATGATTGAATATCAAATCTTCACTCATTTAAACAGATTTATTCATCAGGCTCTAATTTTGATCGCATTAACGTCTTTATTTTTATGAGCTTGATTCTCTATCTATTAGATATTTGTTAGAAATTTAAAAAAAATATTCCACGGAATAAATCGGTTTATTCTGTTGGTATTTGATTTCATTTTATAAATATTTGTTCTACGATATCTTATCATGCTAACAAAAAAAATTGTACCTTGACATTAGGCCTTTTGGTGACAAAAGCAAGAGGGTGCTCATCGTCTAACTCATGAGGTACTCCTATTACTGCTACTTCTAGCACTGCTGGATGTGACATTAACACATCTTCGATTTCTCCGGGTGAAATCTGATAGCCTCTATATTTTATGAGTTCCTTTATTCTGTCAACAATGAACAATTCCCCATCATTGTCAAAATAACCAATATCACCGGAGTGTAGCCATCCTAAAAAAGGTGCAAATTTATTTTTGTGATATATTATATTTTCACGCCATTATTAGATATGTTCGTTAAGACATAGTGGTATATAATTTATTTACTTTACATGCATTAATCATAAATGACTTTTAAATATAATCATATATTATTACGTAATTATTATTATAGATAGAAACTCTTTACCTTCCTCATCAATCATACTTTTCGTCGCCTCAGGATTTCTATAATAACCAGTCATTATGTTTGAAGATTTTATCCATAATTCTCCCGACTGATTCGGACCAAGTACTTTTCCGTTTTCTGGGTCCACGATTTTTATTTGTGCATTCCTATCTACTGTTCCACAAGATCCGTTCTTGTGATTCGGTAGTTGCATTGTTACGCCACCACCAAGTTCCGTCATTCCTAAAAATACAAGAAATATAATCAAACTTTCATAACACACACGCATTAACATATGCGAATATCTTATCGCATTATAGCGAAATTTACCGTAACATTGCAATATTTGGACGTGCGGTAAAATACATCTCATTTCTTGCTGAACTTTCGGCTTAACTGTTGCACCAACGCATAATATTGTTTTCAAAGATGATAAAGAATATTTCTTTATATAACCCGCTTTGAGAAACCGATTGAACATGCTAGAGCTCAAGAAAACAATTGCTACCTAGAGAATAAAATAATTTACATATTTGGATTCCGTCATATTATTGCGCAAATAAGAAATTACATATAAACATAAAACTCATTATACAATTTATAATAGAAATAAGTACACATAAGCATAAAACGCTATTATGATACATTTTTTTTTAATTACAATTTGCACATATCTTGATTGCAAGATATTATTCTGTAATTCGCTATTAATTCATCAAAATGCAATTTGTTACCCCAAATATATGTCACGTATGAATGACAAGTTTTGATTAAAAAAAAAAGAAAAAAAAGAAAAAAGAACTGATCGCATTATTCTATTAGTAATAACTTATCGCGTCAGTTATTAACTTATCAAATTGAAAACATTACAGTATGTTCAAGGCCGCAATTTTATGCGAGTGAAGAAATTTAAATTCAAGGAAGTTGACTTCACTTCACAATTCAGTTCAATTTCATCATAAAATTCATGAAAGAATAAAAGCTAAATTATCGTGATTACTTATGTATATAATAGGAAATGCTACATATTTACATAACGTGAAATTTTAGTTATCATAATTTTTGTTTACAGAAAATTTTGCATATAAAAATTATTCCTTTTAAATGCCCGATAAACCAAGTCCTTTATATTTAATAAATTAATATAATATTACTTTGTATTTCTCTATCAGTTGACAAGTCATCTCCTCGTCAAATTTTGGATAAAGTATCACTCTGGAACCATAAACAATCGCAATGAAGTTCATCAATATTCCACTCAGCCAATAAAGAGAAGAAAACCAAAGTGATGGCTTGTTATTCATGTCCAAAGTGTTTTCCTGACTAAGAGCTAATATAGCGTAGTTGGACAGTTCGACACCTTTCGGCAAACCCGTAGTGCCTGACGAATGCGTGATGCATGCAGTCTTTTTGATGTCGTCGAGTTCGATGTAACGGAAATTTGAGACTTCCGCATCGTTACAATTGTTTAAAATATCAGAAAACGAAATTGCATCGACATGCTTGCCGAAAATCACCACCGTGGGACTACGATTTTTTTCTTTTATCGCCCTCAAGACGACATCCACGGATTTCTCATTGCAGAAGATTATCTTCGGCATGGTCAGTTCCAAAACGTGCATTGCAGTTTCTGATAAAAAAAATAACTCAAAAGTAATAAAAGATTGAATACTATGTTTAATATTATTGTTTATTCAAACAATAAAAAAATTGTATTTAATTAATGCAAGATGTAATTGTATTTGCGTGTATGTTATCGAAAATGAATTAATTTAATTAAATTTAATTAATTTAATTTAATTAAATATATATAGCATGCGGGAATATTCGATAATCGCGAAAGAACTTACGTAAATCCATATTTTCGTTCCACGCATTGAAAATTGCATTGATATAAGCTGCTGAAAGACAAGGCACGATGGAGTTGAAATGATTATCCGTGCACATGCTGATAACGTCGCCGGATTTAATTCCTCGTTTTTGCAACCACAAGGCGCATCTCACAACTTTATCTTGCAGCTGCCCGTATGTTACCGTTTCATCAGTGAGGGCATCCAACTAAACAAAATTATCTTATCAAAAGTATTTTGTAAACATAAAGGAAGTTATATTGCAGAGTCGCAATTCAAAAAACAATCCATTATTCCTGAACACGTATTTCTTACCGATATATTAAAACAGAATTAAATTTAGCAAAAGCGTAATTGTAATAATTTCAATTTAATTTTTAAAGAATTCTATTTAAATTTGTTTTTGTGCTTCTTTTTAAATTATTATTTTTAAAAATATCTATTAAAATATATTATGCAAAATTTGTTAAAATAATAATTTTACGATAATTATTTCTTTTATCTCACTAATTTTTATAATAAAATTAAAAATAAATAAATTTTATTTTTGACAATATTAAAATAAGAGTTTTATTTTGCAGAATACTGTTGTTAGCGTTAGGATTAATTCCGCAATTATTTCAAATCTACAAGTTAATTTTCTTTTTACACGTCTCTTTTTATATCTCTGTATCTAATAAACTTTTTGCTCTCTATTTGCTAACGTAAACATATAACATATAACATATAAAAAAAATTTTTTATAAAAAACTTTTAATAAGCTGTTTTTTGTAGAAAAGCATTATAACATGCGAGGAAAACACATGTCATCTATGAAACAATATTAAGCCTTTATTTTCTGAAAAATGTTTTCCATCATTCTGCTCCGTATTTTATATTAAATTATTAATGTATGTCTTCTACATATGTATTCTCTTTTAACACTTCTTGCTTATCTCATACCTTACACAAAACCAGTTTTATGTAACTCAACATGTATTGTATAAATAATTTCGAACAGCAATCGCAATAGATTCTACCTTCAACATCGTTAATATCAGCTTTTAAGTTTTAGAATATGTTTTTATTGAATCTTCTTTCTTATTTAGTCAAATATTATAAGCTTTAAAATTTATATCTTTTTTTCTTGAAAATCTCATATGTTTTACTGTCACATTTGATCGTTAACTCACGTGTGCGATATTATTCCCATGACTTCTTATGCTAGTCCATATCATTTCTCCGACACTCTTGTAGTTATTCAAAGTATGCTTCGCTCGACCCTTGTAAACGCCATTTTCCACGGTAAAATTCTGTAAACGACATAAATGTCAAATTGTTTTAATTGTTTATCGTCTTTAATGTCTTTGCGCCATATATCTTTAATATATATATTTAATGACAATCGTACATTTACAATTTTTTTCTTTAAATGTAACATCTGAAAAAAATTACATCAATGAATCATCACATCGCTGATTTTAATATACTTACCTTCGAGACATGTTCAACCATTTCATTAAAAATATCTAGGTCTGCCGTCGTGAATGTGAGATTCTGAATGCGATCCAACAAGATCACTCTACAATACTGCATCATAAATAGATCATTATGTAGTTGTTCTAAATTAAGCGAACTGAAATTGATTATCAACGTATATGAAATATATGTTTATCAATATGTTGGAACATAGACGTATACGTGTTGAAAGAATATAATATATACATATATAAAGATATAAATACACTCCACTTTCGAAATCAATTTTAATAAAAGTGAGACTAATATATTGCTTAATATAATTTTTTATAATGATTAATGTTTTACTTTAACTTAAAAAATAATGTTTTTTAAATCATATCTTATTAGTTGTTACATTTGCATAACAATAAAAATATAATAATTAAAAATATTAGTTTTTTACAATAAATAAACAAACGACTAAGCAGAAGCTAAATAATATAAAACGGCCAATTTTTGAGCATTTACAAGATGTTAAAATTATATTTAATAATTTCAATAGTATACAGTCGTTAACGTTTTGTGCCTTACTTGGCCTTCTTCGGAACAATAAAAAACTAAACTAATTTACAATAACTGTTCTATCTGCAGATTTTTTCACTGATTGGATTTTATTACGCTATTAAAGCAATGACGGTTTTGCTGCAAAATTTTTTACCTTTGTTAAGTTATGCAGATGCTGATTTCATCGTAAAAGTTTGAATACACGTATAATACACACTTTTAACAAAAGAGAACAGGCACACACACAATAAAATACATTTAATAATAGCAATTGATCTTCAGAGCAACTGCAAGTCGTTTGAAACCGAAAATTAAATTATTTTAAAATAAAATAGAGTTACCTTTACTTTTAAAACATGATATAAAAAAATATAACATTTTAATTGTCATCGTTTACTTTATCTAACAGTTAAATATACACTGAAAAAAGGTTTTAGTTATAATAACCAAGGTTTATAATAACCAAGGTAAAATAGTTTCAACTAAACGGTTTAGTGATTATGATGAAATTATAACTAAAACCTTTTTTCAGTGTATATCTATGTATGAGAGAAAGGATACTTAAAAATTTGAAAAAATATATCTTAAGTATCCTTTCTCTCATATACATAGATATACTCGGTTGTGTAAACAAAAATAAGTACAATGAAGTAACTATTAAAAGTCACTACTATACGCGGCTGCCAAATTCAATAAATTATTGTAAATGACGATAAATAAATAATACAGATAGAGGCACAATAGATTCTTATGTTTATACACAAAGATAATTTAAGCTTAATTAAAAAATGTACAATACCTTTGGTTACAAATATCCGAATATCCGGCGTGCAAGGGGAAAAAAATAAAGAAATTTGAATAAAAATTGGTAACGTTGATTGCAACAAAGAAGATTTCGTATTTAATGGACGTATTAATTTTTTCAGTACGCGAAGATCATCCTCTCCAACGAATACTCGGCAGACAAGTCAATAATAGTACACTTACAAGCGCTGTTAACAATAGACTGCAAGCATTTACTGACTATCCACTGGTTATGTATCTCTATATATCTATGATCCCACCATCACAAATTACATAAAGCTTGCTCGAATCGTACGTGTAAATCATAAAATTATGTAATTACTATTATTATCGAATAGTCGTAATATTTTTTATTCAGTGTTTTCTAATATTTATGTAAGAAAAAGTATTTTTAAACTAGGTAGTTGCATAACTATGTGCACAGAAAATTATCCATCGGCATTTCCGCTTTAAAAACGCGCGTAAAATGCGATTGGATCATTTTCCTTATATACATGGTTATACAAATATATAGTTATACAAATATGGTCTTATCGCGGTTTTATAACAGCAGTGCCTTATCATTTATCATACAGGATTTTCACAAGATAGGTCAGCTCCTTCATACTTTAGGGCGTTGCACTTTACAGACATTGTATTTAATGTAAAAGTCAACACTAGTGTGATATACTCCCTATATAATACGTATAGAATGCAATGTTGTACTTATCGAAATAGATGTAGAACTCTATGTAGAACAAGTTTATGATGATTGTTCCCCCGATGTCGATCTTTTTTGGCCTAAAGACTTTGAACTTCCCTTAAACAAAAAATATCGTGTATACGCGGCCACGGTTTGTCTCAGAATAATGATGGTGTTAATCTACAACTGATAACATGAAAGATAGCAGCACTAAGCACAAAGAAACAGAGGTACCCAGTTTGACCCGCCTACCCGGTTTTACCCTACTTTTTCCCCTACTTTTAACGAAATTTAAGTGTACGATACTGATCTGAACTCTTGCGAATAAAATGTAATAGGTATTTTAAAACATTTTATCGATAATAATAGATATATGTGTTGTGAATTATAAAACACTTCTTATATAATATTCGAGTCTTGAGGTTCATGTGATTTTTGCAATTTGAGTAATTTAGTTTGAAATCAGTTGCAGTTTTTAAGCAAATAGAACACAGACTTGAACATTGGATCGGAAACGTTGGTGAAACGAAATTTTGATTAATTCTAATTATTGTGCATATACATATATTTTAATTATTTGCAATAATTTACCGTAATATTGGAGAAGTCACTATGATTTTGTAAATTTTAACTTGTATTTGGTTAGATGTTATTATGTTTCAATATTATTAAAATAGGTGAAATTTACAAACATTGTCTTTTTGATCATAATATATGTTCTAAATTTATCAGAAAACAATCACTATACATTATATCAGAAATATTTATTGTATGTATGTCTCTTTCAGCTACGAAAATGATAATAATTATGGACAGGGTTTTATGTTGTGCTTTGATTAGATTGTTCAAGGAGACAAAAGGAGAAATCTCGGACTCCTTCATAACTACATTTATGAAAATAAACAATGTAGAAATTATTAAAAAAATTGAATAATATGTACTTGATTTTGATAAGATATATTTTTCTAAGCTTTTATGTTTAATTTGCAGTTATATTCTACCTACTTAGAACTTGATCCGTTCACTCGTTATCGAGATCTCAACATCTTGAGTACTCGCAACCCGTCGCGTCGCGTAAATGAGTCACGGTCGGTCTGATCGCTCCGCGTGTACTTGGCGCGAGACACTACCGTGTCCCTTGATAACCATTTTCAACAAGACAAGTATTATAAACGTGAAACAAAAATTATTCAATAATTTTTTCAAGTTTTGCTTACATACAACTCGCTAAATAAGTAGTCATACAATCCTGTTCACCTCAGTCCTATTACTCGTTTCCAAGTGTAGTGACTTCTCTTCATATACATGTGTTGCGCACCTGGATTATACACATTGTATATGGGACCTACAGTTTAACGCCGATTCCGAGCGGCTATATTTTTTAAGAAAAGTTCTCGTGGCAAAACATACTCTCGGTGGTTTGCCATTGCCTTCCGAGAGGAGAACGAGCGAATAAAATTTTCTAGCTCTACCGGGACCTTTGGCTCAATAGACCAGTGCGCTGTCTACCAGGCCACGGTACGCTCCTCTAATCCTGTTATTACAGCATTAATTAAACATCTGCAAACACATTGCGATTATCTGTAACGACCTTTACAACATAAAAACTCTACAACATATGTTAAGGTCAAAGTCACTGAAAGCTGGAAGTGAGTCAGTTAATCTAAAAATTTATCGCAACAGTGAGCATTATTTTATTTGATAACGAGAGGTGGACCAGTTTTTTGGCGCGCGATCGTATCATGCGTCGCGTTCGTTGCTCGCTACATAATTCGACTTTCGTTATATGAGATGTTGCTTACTTGTTGCTAAGAGATTTAACAACCGAAACTGCGTTCGGTGAGCGCGTTATCATTGCTATTACTTCATTCTATCCTTGTTTTACATTTAATGATCGATGAAGATAGAGTGACGCAATAACGCTAACAGCAAGCTTCTCAACAACGCCCTAAGCCATTTTACATACCTATTACCGAGTACAGATTATCCTTTCTCATGTGCTCATTCGCTTATCAGATCTTTTAATTAATTACTTAATAACTATTGCGAATTTTACACAAAATAGTATATGACTTTTCTTTTCAATTTGACTCATTCTATCTTCACTTCTCGGTTGGTCAGTGATTTGTCGGACACCTTGTATATTATATGCATTCATAAATTTTGCATTATCGAATAGATATAATTAAGTAGTATGCTTAAATAATTTTTTAACTATTTCTTTTAAATCTTTTCTCGCAATTTTCCCTGAACCAGTATATGGAAAAGCATCCAGAAATATCACTCCTGCACGTAGTTTGAAGTGATCCATCATGTTCTGCGCTACAAAGTCTATCAATTCCTGTTCCGTCACCTGTACAAAAAAAATTATAGCAACGCAGAAACATTCTTATACATTAAAAATATTTATTATTTTATATTAAAAAGTAATGTACGAACAATTCGTATAAGCCAATAATGTATAATTTTATTTATTATGAAATAAAGAAAATAGACATTTAGATATTGCTTGTAAGTAAAATATTACAATAGTATATTGTGCACGAAGGGGCGAAAGTAGCGTTTTTCAGACGAGTGTGAAGTTGGCCGCCCTCGCCTTCAAATCACACGAGTCTGAAAAAGCTTTTGCCCCGAGGCGCACACGATATTTTTCACAATATCTTTACGGAAAATTCGACCTCCATGCCTAGAGAGAAGCGAGAGTGGCCATTTCACGCCAGGACGGCATAGCGGGACGAAAGTAACCACTTTCCTCCCTAGGGCGGAAAGTGATCACTTTCGTCCCTAAGGCAGAAAGTGGCCACTTTCGCCCCTGTTTAGCGGGACAAAAGTAATCACTTCTGATCTGACTTTGATCGCATTAACGTCTTTATTTTTATGAGCTTGATTCTCTATTTATTAGATATCTATTAAAAATTTTAAAAAAATATTCTACGAAATAAATCGGTTTATTCTGTTGGTATTTGATTTTATTTTATAAATCTTTGTTTTATGATATTTTATCACGCTAACAACAAAAATTATACCTTGACATTAGGCCTCTTGGTGACAAAAGCAAGAGGGTGCTCATCGTCTAACTCATGAGGTAC